AAGTAAATACCAACCGGTAAATTTGCGCGACAGTAAATTGGCCAGACTTACATTGTTAATACTAAATACATATACGTAAGCAAACTAGTAAATAAATAGCTGGTAAAATTTATGGAATGGGCAGTTCGGTAAATAGTTCAGCACTGTTGTAGATTAGGTTAGGTTTAGGTAACTGCCCATTTGGCTACTTCACTACTCACTATTTATGATGCTCCATTTTATAATTTTTAAGTCTCAATTTTGTTTACTTTACTGCTAAGCTTTAACTGTCGAACTGCAAATATAGATTTTGTAAATTTTCAACTTACCAAAACTACTACAGTCAAAACCGTTTACGACGACATCGCTTAGAACAACAATATTATATTGACCAAAATCAAAGGTCCCGGCTGAATTCAATGTATTAAGCACTAAATAACAACGTCATCGGCTGTTACGACTATCGGTTTTACGACAGTAAAAGTTTAATACAAGTAGTCCCTTCGATGTCATAAACGATTTTGATTGTATATGCAACTGCCGCATAATTCAGTAAAAAATTGTAACACAAACCTGTCTTGACCATTCGATCAAGTATTAATTGCAGTCAAGTTCATTATTTCACAGTTAGGATTTAAACAACACCATGGTTAATTAAATAAATAAATCAGTGGTGCTACAACTCTTTAGGTCTCGGCCTCATATTTCTGAATCTGTTTCATGCTCATTTTTCAGTATAATAGGCAAGTGGGATCAGCCTCCTGTGCCTGACATACGCTGTGTCGTCTTTTTGGGTCTAAGACTGTCGGTTCACGATGCTTTCCTTCACCGTTCGAGCGAATGTTAAATGCGCACATAGAAAGAAAGTCCATTGGTGCACAGCCGGAGATCGAACCTACGACCTCAGAGACGAGAGTCGCACGCTGAAGCCACTAGGCCAACAGTTTAAAACACCATGGTTAATAGCCGTGGATTCATTAGGCAAAAAGTGCTAGAGACATTACTATTGCCTATTATTGTATTACACACACACATACACACACTCACACACACCCATACAACTTTATTTCTACTAACTTCTAACTAGTTGACTGTTTTGTTTTGTTTTTCTTTCCTTATTTAAAACGTTAAATTTGTTTTCCTACCCAAATATATATTGTATGTACTTTTTGTTTCCACTCAATATGGCTGCTGTGGAATGGAAACCTGGTTATCCACGTCACAGGTTCTTACCTAGTTTGGAAACCAGTCTCCCAAAACCTTCTTTACCGTAGTCTTATTGTTTGTTGCAAATGTTATATGGGAGAAAATAAAGAAATTATTATGATTATTGTTTAGTTTAAGATAGGCTAGAGTTCGTGCAAATTGTTTAAAATAGGATATTAATATATAAACTTGTCACTGTTCCAATACGGTCTTTGGCAGAAATTTGGTTTCTGATATTATGATCCAAAGGGGTTGTTTTAATTATGAAATAGCTTTGTAGCTCACATTGCGTTTCCAACATATTTCATTAAGCGGCAACATTATCAAAGGATGTTTGGGATTTTACTATCATCGGAATGGCTTTACAATAATACGATGAAAATCAATATTTTCCTATAAATTTATATAATTGAGTAATTATTTTTATACGCGATTTGTTAAGATCGAAAATGAATGTTTGACAATTATTTAGCTGCGCTGATGACTTGATAGAATTAGCAGGACTTTGGCAAAGATAGAGACATGTGGAAAGGGTAGGCCTTCACAACTGACCGATCATCAAAACTGTAAGACACTTCTAGGAGACATAGAAGTTTCAAATTTAGATTACAATTAGCGTTTAGAACATAATGTATCTCACTTACATAATAATCAGTGGCGCTACAACCTCTTTTAGGTCTGCGCCTCAGATTTCAGAATCTGTTTCATGATCATTTTTCAATCTAATACGCAAGTAGGTGATCAGCCTCCAGTACCTGGCTTTTTGGGTCTAAGACATGTCGGTTTCCTCACGATGTTTTCCTTCACCGTTTGAGCGAATGTTAAATGCGCACATAGAAAGTCCATTGGTGCATAGCCGGGGATCGAAGCTACGACCTCAGGGATGAGAGTTGCACGTTGAAGCTACAAGGCCAACACTGCTCTATCACATACACTGTATTTATTTAAAACGTATAAGATTTTTTATATCGATATGGTCACTATAATATGTTGTCAGGTCTTTTTACGTAATAACTTGAGACAGAAGGTCTCTTAATTAGGGACTGAATAACCGACTTGGTATTACATGGATCTGACAACGGTAGGGCGTAGCGATATTTGGTTTTTACACGCTTTATATTAACTTCACCTGTATGTATGTATGTATGTATGTATATATGTGTGTATGTATGTATGTAACCGACTCCTTCGGACTCGATTTTGACCCACTTTTAACGGACAGATTTAATTCAAACTTTGCGCACCTGTCAAAGATCGATGGCAATGCAATAATCCGAAAAAAAAAATTAAACTAAAAAATAAATAAATATAGTTTAAAAAAACTTAAAAACACGCTTTTAAAGCACATCAAACTAAAAAGTGAAAAATAATTCCTTAATAATTCCTAATTGTGAAAAAGCGTGGCGCGCTCTGTGCCATATTTTTCGTCTATCGAGCAACCGACGCTTTTTCACAATAATACCAGTATTTTTTGTTAATTACCATTTTCAGCCTAAATTAGGAATTATTTTTCACTTTTTAGTTTGATGTGCTTTAAAAGCGTGTTTTTTTAAACTATATTTATTTATTTTTATCGAACAGTTAGGCTCACATGATGTTGACACTCTCAATGCCAATGGGCTCGCGAGTGCGTTACCTTTTAAGAATTGATACGCTCTTTTCTTGAAGGACTCTAAGCGAATCGCTTCGAAAATACTTCAGTGGGCAGCTGGTTCCACACAGTGGTGGTGCGCGGCAGAAATTGCCTTAATAAGCGCTCAGTTGTTATTTTGATGGCATTATTATATAGCTGTGACAACTCCATAAATAAAATAAATTTTAAGGCAATTTCAGAATTAAATAGTTTTGGAAAATTTAAAAATTATGTTACTAAATTGTTTACTATAAAAGTTTTAAGTGAGTGAATAAGATATTCGAATTATTTTGATATTATTAAGCCATCATGCATATTGCAACATTGAATTGAAGCTTTCGGTAAATCGACTATTCAATACCATCATTTGCCTATTTATAGTTTTTGATTGATTTTGCTTCTGGCAAAAGCCTAGCATATAGTTTTTCCTCCAAGTAACGGGCAGGTCAATGTGTCAGTACTGTGTACTATAAAGTATTTTTTCAATTGTTTCCTTCCTCATGTTCATACAAAAATCGTATCATATGTTTTAGTAAAATTGTTTTATGTTTACGTGCTTAGAAACAAAACCTATTCAGTAAGCAAAGTAGTTAAAGTATTATCCGTTAATTTATTAACGCATATTGCCACTTCGATTCCCGATTAAACAAAGTTCTTCTCTAAATATATAAAATTCTCGTGTCACAGTGTTCGTTTCCATACTCATCCGAAACGGGTCGACCGATTCTTATGAATTTTTTTATGCATATTCAGTAAGTCTGAGAATCGGCTACTGTATATCTTTCAAACCCTTAAGTGATAAGGGGTGTCCACGCCAAATTTTTTGTTTTTTTTTGTTTTATAATACAGCATACAAAAATATATACCACCCTTAATTGCACCCCTATTTTTTATTATACTAGATAGTTATTTTTATTGAACAAAAAAAATGTTTCCTAGAAATATGGCAAAACGACGTTTGGCGGGTCAGCTAGTATTTAATATTTTCCTCATAATTTTATTCCCTTATTTATACGTAAGTAATTAAACTAAGCAAGGAGGTTCTATAATTATGCTTAATCTCTTCAAACTCTTGGTTTTATATGTCTGGCACTGGTCAGTCATGAGCGGAAAATTAACTATATTTTTCGCGAACAGATGAAATCAGTGAGCCGAACCTGTATTGCGAGCTTTGCTAACGAGATTTTTACAGCGATGAATAAAAAGTACCCACTCTAAATAGCCACAGATTTATTATTTTTTACATTGAGTCATAGAATGAAATTTAACAACCTGTTACGTAAAAAGTGTTAATTTAAATGTGCTTAATTTTATTACGTATTTAGAATGTATTTATTCTTATTTGATGTCAATTGTCGTGCCTATTTGGCCACTAGCTTTTTTGACCTAAAAAGAATGCTTGCTGGACAGAAATTTTGCGCTGATGAAGAGCTAATCGCCGAAACTGAAGCCTTTTTTGAGGCTAAAGAGAAATCGTAGTATAAAAATGGGATCGAATATTGTATGACCGCTTAAATTGTTGTATCGCTCTCGAAGGACTATAGTCTATATTGAATAATAAAATAAAATTCTATAAACAAAAAATATTTTTTCTATGTTAGCCTTCGAACTTGTCAGCCCACATAATATGATAGGGTTTTTCCAAATGTATTTTTAAGTACCTCTATTTTATCATAATAAATTGATGCCCCAATTATGTCATTTAAAATCACTGTTCCGTCCTTTTGGGTGTAAGTAAGCATGGTTCGGGTCTGACTGTCTACAAATCAGATGTGAGCCCTAACAACTGAACCGATTGTGATTAATTCTGTTGCGGAGATAAACGGATAAATTAAATTTGAATTTGGTTTCAGTTTTAAAGAATAATGTATGAATGTTAGCTTCATACAGTACTTAACAGACTGACTGCTGAATGTCTACTGAAAGATATCTAAGATAATTATTATTGAAAATAAAATATCCTCAATAAGTCGCGTAGTCGGTAAAAAAAATTGTAATTTAAAGTTTAAGATTAAGTTAAATTATTTCCCATGAACATGCACATTTTAGTTTTTAAAAGCAAAATAATACTCAGAGTACTAGGAAAACGGGGTTAACTATTAATCAATAACTGATTAGATAACAAGGTCCCCTTGACTGGCCAGAAACTGATTGGCGTTAACAGCGAATCTATTCTTGTAATATGACGCGTCCGCTACAACTACTTGTGCTCCATATTATTCTGTACTCCTTATGCGCAGACGCAGCTCCGTTCTCGCCCGAGGACCTAATTGGAATATTCGCTAACCCCATAAGGGATTTTCTAAAGCTATCGATCCGTGTAAGTGAGGTCGAAACCACGACGAAAAAAGACGGAGTCACACCGCAAACGAAGATGATTGATGTGCCTCCAAACATCTTGTCCTGTGAAGATGGAAGTATGATGGATAAAAATGGTGTATGTAGAAGACCATGGTAGTTTATCAGTGACGCAGTTTGTTTAGCACGTCTCGTTAAAATGGACGTTAAGTTTGTGTTCGTTCTTGTTATATTGTGTACCGCCGAGGCTGGTGTGGTGTTCAACTTCCATGAGAGGGTTCGTCAGGCCTCCTCTACTACGGAGAATAGTGTAGATGCATCGCAGATTATAAGGGTGCCGAACTTGGCTTGCGCAGATGGGTATAGAAGAGATGACTTGGGAAATTGTAGACAGCAATTGTAAAAGTATGTTCCAAAATGTATTCAATCAGTTGTAGTAATAAGTTATGAGTACAATCAAAAATCTAACTAGCTAGCTCTAACTTAGTGTATATAAAATAACAAGTGTTTTGTTAAAGAGCAATGTATTGTAAATAATAAATCTGTTGGCCAGAGATTACGGCTTTAAGAGCGTGTCAAGCGATGTACTTTGCTTATAGGGTTTTCAAATGTAAAATGTGTTAAAGTTATGAGGAGTGGACGTGGTCTGCTTATTTGCAAAGAGGTACTGTTTTCTCTTAGATGTCACCGTTAATAATATCAAAAATGAAGCGTCTAATCTTAGAACAAAACAAAAATTATAGAACATTGTAGAATCATAAAGATAACATATCCGTAACCTTTGCCAGACATTTTGAGATTTATCAATTCTATAGGTTTATATAACTTGCTTTCTGTTTTTAAACATTGAACAGTTCAGACAATTGTTGTAAAGTTCGTAAAATGAAAATCTTTTTTCTCATTTTTATATTGGGCTACTACTGATGGAAGATTCTTGAAAGAAATAGTAGAATCCGTACAAGAAAAAAGAAATGAAATAAGACAGAACATAAGAAACATCTTTCATCACAATGAAGAAAATTATAGAAATAAGGCAAATTCAAACGCAGAAGCTAATCCTAACCCTATTGTAACAAAAGAAAGTAATACAGGCATTATAGTATCCGACAAATAAGACGCCTAAACCAGAAGTAACAATGTTAACAGTTACAGAAAATACAACAAAAGATGAAAAAGATGGACGTGCTCAGTTAAAAGGTGGTTATATGAAGGGCTTTAAGCTAACTCGGGCCGGAAGGTGTCAGAATCCGTATGGCCAGAACGATCGTGATTATCCAGAAATGTTCATATGAAAAGTAATATCTAAGGATAAAATGGCTCTGATAATTTGTTTTCGGTACACATTATTAGTTAAATGAATATTAATAAGAATTAATATAGAACAAACGATATTTCAATGAATTTGCTTTTTATTCTAAACGAACAACGTAAAAAGACACTGAGGATGAAATGTAAATTGAATAAAAATTATCAGGATATTTTTATTCTAAGAAGCAATATATTTGCATTATCGCTTTCGTTCGAAGTATAAGGTTAAAAGGTTACGTACATATCTTAGCCCAAGTAGAGCAATAAGACACAGTCGAGATTTCTATACTGTACGAGCAATATTTAAATTGAAAATGAAAATTTATTTTTTAATTCTTTGCGTTTGTGCTCTTCTGTGTTCTTCTCATGGAGGCCTCCTCAAGGATGTTGTTGGAACCATCCACGAGAAAGCACACAACATAAGGGAAGATATTAGAAGTGTCCTTCATCACAAAGATGATCATCATTCAAAGAACACTGTTCCAGACACAGATGTAAAACTTTCAACTACAGAAAAAAACAGTGAAGTTATAAAAACTCATCATGCTGATAAAACCGAATTCGTAACTACAGAAAAGTCAAGCGAGGCTATTAATATTGAGTCACCCAGTACTGGCATCGCGTTCCCAACAGAAAAAACTGAAGCCAAGCCTACAGAAAGTTATACAGTACCGAGTACAACGGTTGCAAGTAATACAACGAAGGATGATAAAGATGGACGTGAGAACTTTGCGGGTGGTTGTGCAACTGGTTTTAAGAAAACTGCAGACGGACGATGCAAGCCTACTTTCTAATAAGTAGCGAACTAGCGTATAAGTACGAAGCAAACAAAATGCATGCTATATTATCATCGTCTAAATATGTAAGATTTAATCATGTATTTGGAAATAATTAATTGTTTTGTACTACAAATTAAATGTATTTAAGTATAAAAATTAGTTTTTTGTATTACTTTACATTAAGGTTCTATTATATAATTTTATATATTTGTTACCACATCATTCTTTTTTTTACTTTAAATTAAATGTATTAGCCCCCTAACTATAAATATTAGTTTTATTCAGTAAATAGATAAAAAAGCAGATGAAATTGATATTATTAATTGAACACAATTTGAGGATTAAAATGTATTAAAGATTTTAGTGATTACTTAAATTGTGATAAATAACAACGCTTACAGACAATAAGATATACATATATTAAGGTGAAAAATATGAAGATAAATAAATACAGTTAAATTATTGTTAGGTTAACTTTATAGTTTGTACAAAATTAAAATGCAAATTTATATTAAAGCTTTTAATCCAAAATTAAGAAATTATTTAAAAGCAAAATCTCATCACAGTCTCCATTTGTTAGATACGTTTTAATAGGGTAAACAATATATTTTTTAAATATTTACAAGAAGATACACAACTTGGGTACACATCTATTATAACACTAATTATTTGTATCTCTGTGAATTTAAATAGACTTGGTCTTGTTGGCTATATATTGATGATGATGATGATTGGTAAGTATTTCTACCTGCCTTACCATAACCTTGTTGATATTTTGGTGTATTGGATTGCTGGTTGTAGGTTTGGTAAGAGGTATCGTAAGCATTACCTGAATATAACTGAGTTCCATCTTTATTAACTGCTATTGAACTCTGCTTGTTGCTATTGGCATTCCACAAGAGGACATCGTCTTGACCATCAGGTCTTTTGTTAACAATGATTCCACTTTGACCTTTTTTGGTGGGGTATCCTTGATTGTATCCAGTATTGGTGTTAACTCCTCCATCAGTGTAACCGACGTAGTAGTCTGTGTCACCAGCGGAGTTTATAGCGACGACGTTGGTATGGCCACGGCCATTGCCAATAGAGACTGTTTCACCTGGTCTGACTTGACCAGATATGTAACCGGGGTTCCTGTTTTGCTGAAAAATTAAATAATCGTTAATACGTTAGCATCACTATATATATATATATCTACTAGTGGACCCCACAGACGTTGTCCTGCATGATATTTAAAGCGATTAGGATATTAAGCAAAGTATGAAAGTACCGACTGCAGTGCCATCTGCCGGGCTGATTTGTGAATCTAAACCATTCCCAGCCCCATCCCCTGAAACACACAAAAAATTTCATCAAAATCGGTCCAGTCGTTTGAGAGAAGTTCAGTGACATACACACTCACAGAAGAATTATATATATAAAGATCACCGGAATATAACAAAATCCGCAAGTTTATAAATTTCCTAGATAATTTGATTTCCTAGATAAATTGTATTGTTGTATGCCCACACTTTCGCAAACTTGCGAATTTTGTTATATGCCGGTGACATAATGGTCTGGTAACGTACAATATAAGAAACATTTTTTGAATTCAAAAAAATTATAGGTCAAACTGTAGCCGAATAAACTTTATTTATAAGAAATAATATTATAATAAATTTAAAAAAAAAAAACTTTTAAGTCTAGTATATTAATGCTTTGCACGTAAAACGTTTATAAACAAGCGTAAGTTTGATACCGGAATATGATAGGATCAATAAACTCACAAAATTGTGAATAAAAAACTGACCTGTCCATAGCCGTCGTAACCATTCTGTACGCCTTGATTGTAGCCATCTCTGAAACGACAAGTGTTTGTTAATTAATGCATATTTAAGTCTATATAAAACACTATTTACCTAAGCATTCCTCAAACTTGTATGACATGTTTTTGTTAAGTGGAATAATTTCGGCTGTTTTATAATAATACTAGCTGATATTATTTCTAGGAAACATTTTTTTAGTTAAATAAAAATAATTATCTACTATAATAGAAAATAGGGGTTGATTGTAGAGGGGTGAAAATTACGGGTTGTATGTATTTTTGTATGTTGTGTCATAAAAAATAAAAACAAACAAAAAATTAAAAAAAAAATTGGTATGGACACCCCGTATCACTTAGGGTTTTGAAAGATAGATAGTAGCTGATTCTTAGACTTAAATTTAAATTTCATAAGAATCGGTCGAGCTGTTTCGGAGGTGTATGGGAGAATTTTATATATTAGATATAAATATTATGACTAAATAAGTCAACAAGAAAATACCTAATAAACGCTAAATGGGCTAGCCCCCGACAGTGACCATGTTTTAATGTGTATAATTTTAAATAAATTTATGATTAATGTTGGTCGCATTATAATATTGAGTTAACTTATTGAATATGTAAGTGCCTGACATATTGATTATTAGGTCTAGGACGTGATCTTTGTTCACTTGTTTACTATGAGATTCTGGAGTTTAAACGCACGTTTTTAAGAAAGTTGAAAGTCGCATGCTTTTCCGTGCTAACGCACTAATACACTTATAGCTTATACTTTCAATTATAATTTAAAAAAACATTGTTAAGCACCTATCGGGTGTATCCGCATTGTAAAGTAACAAATTATTAGTTAAAATTGGAATTTTTATTATTTTAAGGAAAATTTATTTTCACCATAATTGTCATGTATTTTAGAATAGCGTTTAATATATACTCTAGAAAATGCATTAATAATAAATAAATAGATAGATATACACACAATATATTCTCAGAATATAATCATAATTATTATTTATTTATATTATAAAGAATTAAAACTACTAAAATCTGCTGCTAAGATTATAATTTACAATAATGACGCACAAATGAGACGGGTACGTTTTCCTCATGCCTTGCTCCTTCGTTTTGCACATTAAAATTCACGGACGTGTTTTTATTAAAATTTTAGTCTGCCTTTGATTATAAAGAAAACATTAAAAATACTAAAAATTCCCATTGAATTTTAAGTTATATATAATGTGATTTTTAACCGGGATTTATCCCCAAATCTTGTATATTTAACGCTTACCTTATACGTAAGTAGACACGTGGATTTGCGTGTATTTTATATATTAAACATATAAAATATATGTAAATATATACATATGAAAATTTACACATTGTACAAGTATAATGAAGCAGATCTAACTAGCGAATGAGGGCTTTTGATTCATAATGTAGTCATTGTTTACTGACATTACAATTTAATTTGTAAAATTTTATATTACGTAGAAATTTGTTCGTGCTTACATATTATTAATTAAAGCCATCAAATACTAAACCAATTATTTTTTCTTAATTAATATTAATTCAATTTGTATAAGGGGATGACACCTTTGCCCACTGCTACAAAGTCTGGGACAGTTATTTAAAGCAGGATTCTTAAAAGATATAAGAAACCAGTACGTCTGGTATGTCTTGACATATTATCATCTGTGACATTCCATTGCTTAGTATTCATAACGTATTTAGATTTTTTTTATTTATTTACGAATGATTTAAAAAATCAAACTGATGCAAATGTATGACGTTGTATAATATATCTCTAATTACAACCATATTTATTAACACTTCGTTGCATACAGAAATATAATACAGTTGACATTATTAAATGAATAGGCGGCCTCATCGCTTTCGAGCGATCTCTTCCAGGCAAGCAATGTAACAAAAAAAATGTAGATTAATTAATAGTTAAGTAGGTCTTCTGATAGAGACATGTCATTTGTAAAAACATATAAGATTTGACATATATGGCTTAGTGTAGTGTGAACTCAATATACACACTAAGGCCCTTTCTCCACTGCTCCGGTCCGACGTCGGATACCGGAATGAGTCATGAGAAAAATATCGGAAGGCCGGATTGCGCTTCTCCACTATTTCCGATCCGACAATAATCGATACTTGTGTATTTATCGTGCAACACTTATATTAACTAAAACCCATATACTTAATTTTATTAATAAAACGTTCTAAATTCTGAATATTTTATTGCCCTGGCTAGTTAATTACTATTTTTATATTGTCTATCTTGAAATATTATAATCTACTTAATAAATAGTTCACTAATACTATGGTATAAAAATATAAATAAATAGCAACATAGTTTGGTTTGGTCCAGGTTATCCAGATTCTTTCAAATTAAACTATGAATAATAATTTAAAACCTCTTGGATATACTTGGACCGATAAAACACCGCGTTCCGATCTAGCAAGTTATCGGATCGTTAAAAACCGAATGCCGGAGTAGTGGAGAAGTACGTAAGTACTGTTGTTAGTTTCTAAATCGGATCGGTAATTAACGTTTGCCGGACCGGAGCAGTGGAGAAACGGCCTAAGGCGCTCATTTAGTCCGTTGTGCGTAAAGTAGTGCGAAGTTAGGCGTAGCTATGACACTGACACTAGCAAGTGTTAACAGTCTACATAAAAAGTTGTTCACTTGTTCACTGCCGGGGCCTTTTACGACCTTATAAGCTCTAAATCAATTTTGTTTGTTTTAAACTTAAATACTTACACATTTTGATTTGTTCCTTGGGAGGCGTAGCCATTTTGAGTACCTAAAATAATTTATTTGAAATTTAACGACAGAAGTATCATTAATTGGCTAATGTTCGTGTCTAGTTACTGCCATAACAGGCCCTAGGTTCACAGCAAAGAATACATCAATAAAACAGAATTGTGTACCCAGTACCGTGGGAGGCTCTCAATTCAGTACAGGAATTCTAAATTTAAATTTTGCTGATAAAGAACTCAGAAAAATACTCAAATATCTTATTCATACATTGTATAAGGTTCAAATATTTCGTCAAGACAAATTAATGCTTAAAATTAAAATTAATGTACGTTTATTAAGATATTGAAGACTACTCGCCATAATAATTAGACAAATATTGCCTAGGTTTACGTTCTCTTGCTGTGTTTTCTATCTCATCATTACCTTGATCGGTTGGCGGTTTCGCAGATTCTAAAAAAAATGTTGACTTCTTTAAAATGTTACTTGAGGACTTTTAGTCGTTTTATCACAGTTTACGATTCAATTTTTTAAGTACTAATTCTTTAAATAGTTTCCTTAAATTAAACCTACAATTACTTGATAGTAAATATTTCAAACCGAATAGTACAATATTTAATTGTACAGACTTGCAAACAGTATTGTCAAGACAGATTAAAAATTTAATAAGTCATAATTGAACGCATTTCTACCGAAGTGTATTTCAAATTTGGAATAGGTTTAAAAACCTTAAAATTGCCGATTTTGTCTGTGTCATTTGGTACATCCAAAAAGTTCTTAAGTTAAATTATAAAATAACTCACCATGTTTCGTTTTTGCAACAACACAACTAATTAAAATACTGGCACATAATAAAACTAACGTAGTTTTTAATGACATTTTGTTTTCGTAAAACACGTACGTTGTTACGAATGTTCTAAGGTGAAGTAAGCTATTTTTTCCTCGTTCTGAAACCGGTTAACTGAGCCCGCAATTGTCTCCTCTTTTATATATGTCTAGACGTACGTAAATTACCTAGAACTTGACAATAAAGTTATGTATACCGTTTAGTATATATATAGTAATAGATTATAGTTACATTAATATACTTTTTTCATATATTATAACTGTTATACTGCTGTTTGTTCGAAATTTTATTTTGCCGCGAAAATTTTATTGTAACTTTTAGATCCTACAGCGCCATCTTGTTCTGCTTATCCACATTAATCATAAACATAAACATTCTTTAAGACACCTAGAGCCATCTAGTGTCAGATAATAATAACGTATCGACTTGTATTTTTAATATTGATAAAAGCAGCTTTGTAAGGTTTTCAAAAAAAATCATTTTTTTTAATACGATAGCTCGAAATAGGTAGTTTTTTTATAAATTTGGTAAAGGGTATTTTCTTATTATTATATTTTGCTTCATTCGTGGATTTTTTTATTATGTTGTAACATTCAGATTAATAATTACGCAATCAATACATAATTTTTTCGAAAGTGCTTTTTGTTTATGAACATGAATGGACCTAGAGGAAGAAGGACAAGAAAGCCTTAATAAAAGATGGTTAGAGGATATAGAAACCTTAGGAAGCGAATGGAGAAAGAAAGCCATGAATAGAGATATTTGGAAAAACGTCGCCGCCTTTACCCGTGAAGGGGTCAAAGACCAAGACCTCAATCAATCCCAATCAACAGAAGGAAGTTATGGTATCGCGTAAAAATATTATTTAACAAATCTATTATACTGGGTGGCGCAAAAGTAAAGACCCTATTTGGTTCAGCTATAACATTTTTCTAAATTAGAAAACTAGATTTAGGTTTTTTAAATGTATATTTGTGGCATTAAATTTCGTACCATTATGATTTAAAGATGATGTCTTTTAAATGGTGACCTCCAGAGTTGATGCACATTTGAGCCCTATTTTTGACATTTTGCATAACTTGCCGTAATACTTCCTGCGATATGTTCCTTATTTCTTGATGAATGTTTTCTTTTAGAGCTGCGAGAGTCTGTGGCTTGTTCACATACACCCGAGATTTCAAAAAACCGCAAAGAAAGAAGTCTGGACTCGTCAGATTGGGTGATCTTGCAGGAAATCGTCGACGAAATTCACGTTGTGTTTTTATCACTGATGAATTATTCCGTTAGAACATTGGCACGATTATTCCACGTTCTTGGGGAGTAAAACGGTCAATGTTTATTTTCAGTTTATTTTACATTTGTTCACTACACAATTTTCAACAACAGAATGAAAACTATCGTCATATAAAAAAAAAATTAATTTTCTTTAGTGCCAGTACTTTTGCGCCACCCAGTATAAAAATCTAAACTCTATATTCCACATATCTAAAAATTTGAAATAAACGGGTTTTATTGTTATAGTTAAACAAGAATGGATTGAGATATTGTAGGGGTAACCTAAAAGGTTTTCATTCCAGAAAACTGAACATTCTCTGGGGTATTATAGCAAAATGTTTCATGTTGGTATGTACTAAAAAGGTAGGCTAAGTAAAATCACATTAAGGAGAAACGGGGGCAGCTATTATAATAATATTTATAAAGCCACTTTAATTCCATACAATAAAAAGTACAAATCAATATGGGTGTTAGTTTTGTTATTATACACTTGGTCTACGTTAGTTATTGTCATTTGCATTACTACGTGTATTCTGCAGTATGGACCCCTTTTGGATAAAAACCTCCTTCATTCCATTTGGATCTGTTCTTCTCTTTCTCCATTCATTTCTCCCCTTTATGATGTCGTCGATGTTTCTTTTTCTTGGAGGCCCCCTCCAGCTTCTGCGGTCCATCTTTTGTCATTAAATCTTACAATATGGCCTGCCCATTTCCATTTCAGTTGTAAGACGTGGGTTAGTGCGTCTGAGATCTTAGTTTTCGTCCTGATTTGGTCACTTTATAATTTTTTGATTCATAGGAATCCGTTCTATTTCTCTATCAGTACTAGTCAGCTTTGCAGTGGCGTAACAATAGGGTGGCAGGTCTGGCAAAACGCCACGGGCCCCCAAATCAAGAGAACCCCAAGAGTTATTATGTTGTATGGATGAATGTGAAGTCTCCAATACGCATTGGGCTAGCGTGGGGACTACAGACCATTCCCTCTCGCCCAAAAGAGGAGGCTTATGGCCATTAGTGGGGCATATACAACGTGTAATTTAGCACGCTAAAAATCTCGAATGATTTTTACTGATAAAAGAATTGCCACAAAAGAAGATTTGCCACGGGCCCCAGATGGTGTAGTTACGCCACTGCAGCTTTGACTTCACTCTTTTCGTAAACGTCCAGGTTTGGCTCCCGGAGATCAGGCATGGGAGAAAGCTATGCCACTTTGGCAGATAAAGGACAAAAACAGCCCCATGTCACATGACTTTGTTTAGTTTTAGTTATAAAAATTCTTTATATACTTATAACTGGATAGGATGCGTTTACCTGAATTGCCAAAGTTAAATGGAATCATTTATTTCAATTAGGCCTATTTAAAAGGCACTTTTAAAAGTCAAAATTACAAGTCAAGTTACAATGCTTTTTAAATATTTTTATTTTAAAAAAACAATGACTCTGAAAATAAAAAGGACAATAAAGGGGCGACTCCCCTTCCAAAAGTTTCATATGAAGAATAATGGGCAAGAAACTTACTTACCCTTTTAAAATAGTTTGTACAATATTTTGTACATTGATTTATTATGTGAAGACCATGTACCTAGAACAAAAAAACTACTACACTAAAATAAAATAGTATCAAAAACAATGCAGCATATAACTAAATTATTAGATGTTGCTCACACATTCCCAAATATTGCAACTATAGATTTTCTTTATAAATAAGAACTGGATATATATATAATAAATTGTTAATGTTTTGCCGGGAATTGAATTGGCAACAAAACCTAGAGTATATTTTGCAACTCCAAATAATACTTTTATTAGTAAATAATTCTCAGTCAGTGAACAGTTTCTAACTGGTATCTAATTTAGTGCCTTTGCGATCGAGGCAGCTCGCTTTGACTCCACGTTAAATTTGCAACAATCCGAAATCAGGCGGAAAACTATCGAAGTTTGGACTAAATTAACAACAAGTTTCAGGCAGTATATAACTGCAACATCTTCGTCCAAGATTTAATAAGAATTCTATATTAATCTGCTGCAATTTTTAATATACATTGATAATAAAACTTAATTAAGTAAACGTTTAAAAGCTTGCCAGCCAGTGGCACATTGTGTGTTTAAAGTTATATGTAGTGTATATATTAGCAAAATGCGCTAGACAAAACAAAATATATGAAACCTAAGAACCTTAGAGCAGTGTTGGTCTAGTGGCTTCAGCGTGTGACTCTCATACCTGAGGTCGTAGGTTCGATCCCCGGCTGTGCACTAATGGACATTCTTTCTATGTGCGCATTTAACATTTGCTCGAACGGTGAAGGAAAACATCGTGAGGAAACCGACATGTCTACGACCCAAAAAGTCGACGGCGTGTGTCAGGCACTGGAGGCTGATCACCTACTTGCTTATTAGATTTAAAAATGATAATGATACAGATTCAGAAATCTGAGCTGTAGCGCCATTGATTTATTTTATTTTTATTTTTTTAAGAACCTTAGAAGACTGTAGGGTTGATTGTAATAAATAAAGAAGTACGGAATGTCTGCAGTCTGCACCAAGACACCTAAGGTAACAAACGGAGCCCTACAGGTAGGATCAGAGGTTCGAGGTAGTGGGTTTATCTCACAACTATCGGGCTCAACACGATAATAAAGGGGTTTGAAGAAGTCTTCGCCACTTTGAGAGGAAGTGAGAAATGAGTAAGACAGAGCAATATTCAAATCTTATTTATTGTTTTTAAAACAACATCTTAAATACTACTTACACCTATTATAAAACTACAATATAGAAATATATTCTATAGAAATGTGAACAGCTGATATTTTGCTTGAAATTATCGTAATCCACGAACAAGACATTTCTTTAAAAAAAATTGGAAATCACGGATTCTATTGTGTCTGAAACTTTCTATGTGAGCAGTATTGGTATACTGGCACAACTCCAACGGTTATGCACTAATGGAATTTTCTTAGGCCTTCACCTGCGGAAGGGTTCTTGCAAAATAATTGGGAAATAAATATAAAATTAGTGTAATTTATTTTCTTAAAAAAAATATGTATATATAATTATACTTAGTTCTTTTGCAAGAAATAAAAAGGCTTTTTTATTTTTATTTTATTTATTTTTCTGTATTATTTTAAGTAACACAACTGTGAGCTACTAAACCGAACACAGTGTATTTTGAACAATTTTCGAAATTCGAATTCGGAATTTGATTTGCGTAATACTCGTAAATTGGCGTAAATATCCCAAAAACAAATTTGTATAAAAATTCCGTAAAATACAGAAACCTGATGATGTTCTCTGGAAGCTCACACGTTAGCCCGGCTGTTTGTTAAGCCCTCGAATTATGTTGCGCCCGGGGGAGCCGTATGGGAAGCAACGAAACAAATTTTACTTTTTCACTCAGAATTTACTCCTCACTGGGTAAGCAGAAATTATTGTCTACCTCAATAAATCGCTCAAGATTATCCAAGAGTATATCCAGTTTCTTTGGTTTAAATATTCTTTAACTATATAACAGACTAACTGGATTAGAACCGTTCTCTAATAACTTATAAAATAGGTGTAAATAAATAAATACTTTTATTTATTTATTTATGAACACTTCGTTGCATACATACTTATATTACAATTGACATAATTAAATAAAGAGGAGGGCAACTGGCGGCCTTACGTATCAAGCGATCTCTTCCAGGCAACCCCTGTGAGAAAATTTTGATATAGTTATTTCGACAAAACTAAAACAGCAACAAAAAACTAAACTAAAAAT